GAAGGAGGGTGTGTGGTACTTGCCCAGCCTCTTCTTGGCCTCCTAGCCTTTTACTCAAATCCTGTTGCTGTCAGTAGTACCCCTGACCTCTTGAAACACTAGGAACTGTCTAGATGCTGTTTAGAGGTTGAGAGCCATTGGGGGCAATTCTTTCGTGTCTATGTGAACTGCTTGCTCTTTGCTTAATGTTTCACTTCTCTTGTCACTTGAAGGATTTCCAGATGACATATGTGGGAGGAAAACAAAAAAATTGAGTGTGTTAGAGTTTTGTTTTTTTAATAATGGCATTATACATTAAAAAAATTTTTAATAATTTTTACTTGGAACCACACTTCAGAGACTATAATAGCTGCCCACTATTTTTCTCTAGGACATCTAGAATTGTTGTAAAAAAATATGACCAAAATGATTAAGACAGACTTTTCTTTCATTGTTGCTGGCAAGTTTTAGCTCATTCTCAAGGTTTAAAAACATTAGTTTAGTTATTAGTTATGAATATGATTTTACAGTGATCTTTTAGTATGCTTGTCTGTCTTCACAGTTAGTAGGAAACACTTGAGTTCTACTTCCAATACCTCCATCCTGGTTTCTCAGAAAGTTATAGGTAAATATGCTTGGAGATATTTTCCTCTCATGGAAGGCATATACTTCTCTAGCTGCAAGTTGTTCTTGGCTAACGACTCAGAGAAGATAAAATAACCTTGAGCAAGATATTCTTTGTTGGAAAACTTTGAGGATTGTATGATTGTGTTCCACTCTCAAAACTAGGGCTTTGACAGCCTTGACAGGGACAAAGGTATGTCAAAGGTAAACTTGCAAAAACCTATACCCCATGGAGAGATTGGGGCAACCCAAGAAGTTGATAGGTGAAACAGAGGGGTTTGGGACATACTCAGTGTTCTAACGTATTGAATAAATGTAATCTCAGAGGAGCAGGTCAGTGGTGAAGAATCCGCCGCCAATGCAGGAGACGCAGGTTTGATCCTTGGGTTGGGAAGGTCCCCTGGAGGAGGAAATAGCAACCCACCCCAGTATTCTTGCCTGGAGAATTCCATGGGCAAGGGAGCCGGAGCCTGGTGGGCGACAGTCCATAGGGTTGCAAAGAGTCAAACATGACTGAGCATGCATGCACACAAGGGAGCAGGCATAGAATATGATTATAATGGAGGAAATGGACAAATTAATGGACTCTCCTAACACCACATGTCTGAAGAGTGTGTCAACAAAAAGAGGATGCTCAGTATGGGGTTGTTATTTTGGCACATTTACCGAGCACTGTCAAAGGGGTGGGGCTAGTAGAAACTGAATCTGATAGACAAGAAAGTTCCAGTCACCAGAGATGGGGATTTGGCTATAGAGCAGGACCTGGTCTAGACGAAATGGCCCTTAAGATATTCCTTTCTTCTGATCATCTCTTCTGCCCATGAGTGAACATTCTGGTTAGTTATCTGGCTCCTGATATCTTGGCCATGTGAAAGGGCCTGACCTGGAAAGATTCCCTGTGAGAGAGTAAACTGGCATACCTGATCATGCACCAGCCTTTTGGAAATCCCTCAGTGTGAGTTTCCCTCAGTGGGAAGCAAACAGTTCTGTAAGACCTAGCCAAGCACACATGCAGACTTGTAATGCTGAAGGGCAAGGAGCAGCCAGCCTCCCAGGGATCCCTCATAGCTCATCACGCCAGGAATGGCCCAGTCTAATCAGGCCTAATCAAATTACCGGGAGGGGAGACACTTGATAAAGCTTGGTCCGAGAGAAGTCTGACTGCAGGCCCTGGTTCTGATAGTTAGATGATGTTAGGAACTCTCAGAAGAATAGGACAGAGACCTACTGAGTGGATCTGCTATATAAACATGTGATTTGTCACCAAGGAATTGGGTCAGAGATTCCATCATGGCTCACTTCACGGTGGGACATCAGCTTAGATTGTTGGATACCTGTTTTTTCTGCTCAAGAGTGAGACTGATTCTTGAATCTAAAAAATGGGTAGAACTACAAGAATGGATTAAGGATTTATGAAGTCTATTATATTTTTGTTTCTAGGAACTGGGAAGAAACCATGGAGAGATTGGGGCAACCCAAGAAGTTGATAGGTGAAACAGAGGGGTTTGGGACATACTCAGTGTTCTAACGTATTGAATAAATGTAATCTCAGAGGAGCAGGTCAGTGGTGAAGAATCCGCCGCCAATGCAGGAGACGCAGGTTTGATCCTTGGGTTGGGAAGGTCCCCTGGAGGAGGAAATAGCAACCCACCCCAGTATTCTTGCCTGGAGAATTCCATGGGCAAGGGAGCCGGAGCCTGGTGGGCGACAGTCCATAGGGTTGCAAAGAGTCAAACATGACTGAGCATGCATGCACACGAGGGAGCAGGCATAGAATATGATTATAATGGAGGAAATGGACAAATTAATGGACTCTCCTAACACCACATGTCTGAAGAGTGTGTCAACAAAAAGAGGATGCTCAGTATGGGGTTGTTATTTTGGCACATTTACCGAGCACTGTCAAAGGGGTGGGGCTAGTAGAAACTGAATCTGATAGACAAGAAAGTTCCAGTCACCAGAGATGGGGATTTGGCTATAGAGCAGGACCTGGTCTAGACGAAATGGCCCTTAAGATATTCCTTTCTTCTGATCATCTCTTCTGCCCATGAGTGAACATTCTGGTTAGTTATCTGGCTCCTGATATCTTGGCCATGTGAAAGGGCCTGACCTGGAAAGATTCCCTGTGAGAGAGTAAACTGGCATACCTGATCATGCACCAGCCTTTTGGAAATCCCTCAGTGTGAGTTTCCCTCAGTGGGAAGCAAACAGTTCTGTAAGACCTAGCCAAGCACACATGCAGACTTGTAATGCTGAAGGGCAAGGAGCAGCCAGCCTCCCAGGGATCCCTCATAGCTCATCACGCCAGGAATGGCCCAGTCTAATCAGGCCTAATCAAATTACCGGGAGGGGAGACACTTGATAAAGCTTGGTCCGAGAGAAGTCTGACTGCAGGCCCTGGTTCTGATAGTTAGATGATGTTAGGAACTCTCAGAAGAATAGGACAGAGACCTACTGAGTGGATCTGCTATATAAACATGTGATTTGTCACCAAGGAATTGGGTCAGAGATTCCATCATGGCTCACTTCACGGTGGGACATCAGCTTAGATTGTTGGATACCTGTTTTTTCTGCTCAAGAGTGAGACTGATTCTTGAATCTAAAAAATGGGTAGAACTACAAGAATGGATTAAGGATTTATGAAGTCTATTATATTTTTGTTTCTAGGAACTGGGAAGAAGAAAAAACTTATGCACAAAAGACTTAATTAGCTCATTTAGAAACATTTAGGGATAGAACTGGCCTCAGGCACAGCCTGACACTTGGGCTCAAGTGATGTCACCAGATTTCTGTTGTCTCAGATCCATGTTGCCTTGTATCTTATACAGATTCTCTCCTACTGAGGTCACAAAATGCCAGCTACTCTTGATCCATTCCCAGCATTTCGAATACAGCAGAAGAGAGAAAGAATCTCTTCCACAGAGCCCTTGAATAGCTCCTCCATTATAGTTGGGTAACCTGTCCATCCCTGAACTTACCACTTGGAAATATGATTGTCTGATCGGTCAGTGCCTGAGTCATTTGACCACCTGTGAAACTAAGGGTGTAAATGCCTTCACTAGAGAAGTACCTTGGAGGTGTCTGAGGAAGTCCTGTCTGCTAAGGAGTGTGTGACAGCTCACCTGTCCAATCAGCTAGCCCTGAAAATGGACGTCACTGGGAGGCCATCACTGGCCTTGGTGATCCAGGCAAGAAGATGGGAGCCGGCAGGCCCTTTCCCACCCCTTCACCCTTCCTTCCTCCCGCCGCAACTATCACTGTAGTTTTGTATTTTCTTCATTAGTTATTCAGCTTCACAAATGTTGATTGAACACCTATCATAAACCTAGAATTGCAGGAGGTATTAGAAGGGGATAATCTACAGGTAGAAAGTTAGAAGCACTTTCCACATAACAGAGAAAAACTACCATTTTTTTTATTTCTAATGTGATAATGTAAAGTCAAACACATTGTGTACTGTGCAACTTTTGCTTTATACTTAGCCTAAGGAGTGGGGTTGATTGTCAGAATAATTAATGGTAAGGAAGGCATACCATTCATTTGCAAGAAAGCAATTTGTATTTTCCAAATATTATTCACTAATTAGGTAATTGAGTGCTGATAGCACTATTTTATATGTAAGGATATCGATATTCTATCACAAAGTACATCAAAAAGATAATTATTCCAGGATCCAGAATACCTTTAGTTTTTAGTCTTAACATTCATTCATCTCTTTTCTTTTTAATTTCATTAGTTGAAACTTTAGTTTTAAAGATACAGTCAGGTAGCAACTTATTCAACGTTCCTTGGATTTTTCTCAAGTATAAACCTGAGTTATTCCTCTCATCAGTGATTTCCGATTATCCTAAGGATCAATTCCAAACTCCTTAGCATGGTACCAATACCCTCTTTCATCTTCTTACCCCAGTTTTCCCAGCTGTACCCCATATCATCCATTCTGAACTATTTACAGTTCCCCAGATGCACAAGCCCTCCCATCTCTCTGCCTTCTCACACGCTTTTCCTTTTGTCTACTTTTTTCTACTCTTTTGTCTTGCTATTCCCCAGCCATCTGTTACTCATCCAGCAGGTCTCAATGAAGATATCACCTCCTCCAAGAAGTCTTCCTTGACAATCTCTTGAGACTGGGCTAAGTGTTCCTTTTTTACTTCCTTATCTCCCTCCACTTGCCTTATCATGACCTTCATCAGCCTATGCTATTAAGTGCCTATTTGCCTCTAAGTCTCTCTAACAAGAACAAGAGTTGCATGAATTCCCAAATACAAAGAAAATAGAGTGGGCCCTGTGTTTTCACAGCTGTTCTCTGAAAGCTTAGTTCAGTAAATATTTTTTGAATGAATAAATGAATGAAGAATGAGCCACTTATTGTTTGTTGATTTCTTATATTTCCTCAGAATTACAACCGCCCCCCTGTGATGGCATTAGCCATCCCCATTGCCGTGAAATTCCTCCACAGAGGCAACAAGGAACTGTGCAGGAATATGTCCAACTACCTGTCCCTGGCTGCAATTACCAAGGCGGACCTCCTGGCTGATCACACAGAGGTTATAGTAAAGAGCATACTCCAAGGTATGGTGTAAAGGCTGAGCCTGGGGATGTGTTTTAGGAGTCGTTTTAAAGTATTTTCATAAAGCAGCTATGGTTTGTGGGAAGTGAGACTTAAGTATTGAGAGGTACATTGCATTCTCTGCTTTGCCACTAGGAGTCTGGAGGTAAGGTTACTTGAATTGGGTGAGTCTGGGTCTCTTCACCAGGTAGGTGAATTCTTTAAACACCTTAGATGAGTTGTATGCCATTCCATTCTCCAGGGGATCTTCCTGACCCAGGGATTGAACCTGGGTCCCTTGCATTGCAAGCAGATTCTTTACCAGCTGAGCCAGTGGGAAGGCCCTTCTTTCTGCTTCTTTCCAACCCTATGGGTCTCATTTGGAGATTGTCTTTTCTGTACCTCTGGTCATCTTGTCCAGCCACCACCTGTGCAGAACCTGTCTGTACTGACTGGACTGTGTTCCACTGCTCTCGGTGGCAGATGGAAAAGCTCATAAATGCCAAATAAAATACCCCAGAGAATGTGTAAAGACTTCTTAAATGTGAACGTGATTTAGAACTGATTTGTAATTGTCTTAAGTACTCTCATGGAGCATCAGATCAGGACCTCTCTGTTAATGCTTTCATATTTGAATGAGAGAGATCAAGTTACTCCAGTCAGAACATTCTCTTCTGTTGTGGTTTTTCCTTTGGTTTTAGATCTCTCAGAAACTTCTTTCTTTTGTGCAGTTTGGGAATCAAAGAACAATATATGGTATTATTTGATATGTACTCAAATATCCCCAGCCTCAAACGCCCGAAGTCCTTGAGTATCTTGGCCCACCTTTGACTGCCACATGCCCCACATGCTCAAGTGGAGCATCAGCTTTTTGGAAAGAGCTCCCACACCAAGTGTTTCTGAAAGTCCCCAGTATTCTCTTCTTGGTACAGCAGAGTGTGGTGATGTCCGTGTGCACCACTCTGAGCCCAGCAAACTCTGCGGCTGCTCCCACGAAGATCCCAGGAACGGACTTGACCCCATATGCACTGCCTGGGATGGCAACCTCTGTCTCGTTGTTCTGCTGCTTCCCCTGAAATTTCAGAAGCTACTAGTCCTCAGTCCACTGCGGTAGCATGGGGCAGGATGTGGGATGGGGGAAGAACACCTGTCTTTCTCCTTGGCGTTACACTTTGGTAGAGAGCCAGAGAAAGGTTGCTTGGCTCCCAGCGTCAACGTATGATAGTGAGTTTTCAGTGAAATATGTTGTTCCATTTTATCTACAATTTTTTCTCTCTCCCCTGGGCTCAACTACTCACCCAAGAGTCAGGCTAGTAACACATTAATCCTCCAGTTCTCAAAATACCTATGGCCCACCATGGACCGTTGTACCAGACATTCATTGTACTAGACATTTCCAAGAAGAATTCTTAGTATCCACCCTTAGCCCCAGACATCTGACCGGCCAGCCTAGTGGTCTGCCAGATGCCAGTCTGCCTAAACCCCAGTCATGACAGTGGAATTTTATCACTCTGCCTGTACTCCCTTCTGAAGACTTATTGATATTACTAGTACATATTATTCACTTCTCATTTTCTTCAGCTACAAGATTGAATTGCTAATTTCTCTTTATACATGATCTTAAATTTGCTAGAAGTCCAGGAAGGCAATTATGCTTTTTTATCACCTTGGCTACATATTTGGTACAGATTTTATAGGAATTACAAACACTTATACATGCCACACATTTTAAAATCATCGTAGTTAGACTTGCAAGTAACTGATTTATGATGGGAAAACATTAACTTGTCTCTCCGTAGCAGCCAAGAACTTAGCTCATGTATTTGTTTTTTTAATTTTTTTGAAATGCACTTTCAGTGACAAAGAAATCTTTTGAAACACAAAATACACTTTCTGAGTTCACTGCAAGTATTTGAAATAAACAAGTGATTTAGTTTATTTGATCCAGAACTATGCAAACCATCATAAAATAAATGATAATTTAACCTATGAAAGGTTGAGACTAAATATTTCAGGGTTAGTTTTTTGGACTGATGTGTCTGTAAGATACTGCAGTCACTCACACAAGCCTACCAGACTTTGAGTTGCAAAACAGAAGGGATCTTTGTGTCTCTGAGTAGTAAGTTTCCTGCTTTGCAAATCTGTGTATGTATACCCTGCTAAACATTGGCATTTCTTAGTTTTCTCCCCTTTAGATCTTCCTCCTTGATTTATATTATCCTAATCCTTATTCTCCCATTTTTATACTTCTGCAGAAAATGCTAAAGTGTTAGTTATTTGATTTGATCTGAGTTTTCATAACACTGGAATTATAAAATTCAGTTACCCAGGAAGTACCTGAATCCCTACCAATTGTCATCCATTCAGTGATAACAATAATAATTGCAATAACAGTAATAACTACAGTGGCTAGAATTTATTTCATGCTCCCTTTATGCCAAATGCTGAACTAATCATTTTATACCAATTAAGTCATTTAATCCCCACAAGAATTCCTTAATCAAAGTCCTATTATTATCCCATTTACCAATTAGTTATATTTTAAGTAACAGAAGCTCAGGTATAAATAGTTTTATGATTAAAACTAGGAAGAGAAGGAGGAGGAGGAATCCCTTACTGGCACACATGACTAAAAAAATGCGTTAGTGTATCAGTATTCCCATCTGGCTTGATTCAGGACTCAAATGTGATCCCCAAAAGTCATTACTCAGTTCTGCTTCCTGTGGATTGGTTTCACTTTCATGTTTCATGTAATGGGCCTCTCTGTCTTCCAGCTCACATTATCATGAATACCAGTTAAGAAAAAGAAATTCCATATCTCTGTTTGACCTGACATGGGCCACATGCCAATTTCTGAACCAATCCATCATTGTTGCAGGGGGATATCGTACTTCAACTGGCCGGACTTGGGTCATGAGCCACGCTCAGAGCAGGAGTTCGTAGTAAACTGCAGCAGAACCACATGGATGGGGATTAGGTAACCCCCAAGTCCATACCTGTTGCTAACAGTGTTGTAAATTAATACTGGGCAAGCCTTATGTCCCTGAATCAGGAGGATCCCTGGAGAAGGGCATGGCACCCCACTCCAATATTCTTGCCTAGAGAATCCCATGACAGAGGAGCCTGGTGGGCTATAGTCCATAGGATCACAAAGCATCAGACACAACTGAAGCAACTTAGTAGCAGCAGCAGCAGCAAGCCTTATATAAATGTCTACTTTTATTCCTTTATACTTCTTAAGAGATTCAGTTCATTGCTTTGGCATGCCAAGATCTAACTGATAATGATTCTTCCATTTCAATATATCTGCAATTCTTCCAAAGTCTTGCTGTCTGTAAATTTTATGAACAGAACCATTCTACCTTATTTTTAAAACACTATTGAAAAGGTACATCTGATGCAGCCAGTATTCTTGCCTGGAGAATTCCATAGACAGAGGATCCTGGAAGTCCATGAGGTCTCAAAGAGTTGGACATGACTGTTAGTTGCCTAGTCGTGTCGGACTCTTTGTGACCCCATGGACTGTAGCCCTCCAGGCTCCTCTGTCCATGGAATTCTCCAGGCAAGAATACTGGAGTGGGTAGGCATTCCCTTCTCCAGGGCGTCTTTTGGATCCAGGGATCAAACCAGGGTCTCCTGCTTTGCCGGTGATTCTTTACCATCTGAGCCACAAGGGAAGCCCAAATCAATCATAAGAGACTGTCAGATGGACTTAAATATTTATCCCTGAAGACTAGTTCCAAGCCAATTTTTTGCTACTTCCCACTATTAATGATTGTATATAAGTTATACTGTTTACTTTTACATTAAATATAACTACAAATTCATTTATTTAAATTCCTTAGATCTGTTTGTCTGTTTTGTGTTCTTTGAATTCTCCCAATGAAAAGGAAATTGTGAAAGTCCTTCTAGGAGACAGGATTAAAAGCATGAACAAAATGTTGTCTTGATTTGTGCTTGAGAGCTAAGGAGATAGAAAACCTGAATGTCCCTATATCAAATAATTCTATCAGTATTTTTAAATCAGCCCACCAAAAAAAAAAAAGAAGGCTGTCACATTTAGTACTATATGCAAATTGGAACGAATTTGCAAGGAGTGATTACAGTCTTATCTAAACTTTTTCATGTAATTTAAAAGGAATACATTCTCCAACTAATTCTATAAGGCAGGCATGAAAGTGAAAATCACTCAGTCGGGTCCGACTCTTTTCCCCGCCAAGGACTGTACAGTCTGTGGAATTCTCCAGGCCAGGATACTGGAGTGGGTAGCCTTTCCCTTCTCCAGGGGATCTTCCAACCTAGAGATCATACCCAGGTCTCCCATATTGCAGGCAGATTCTTTACCAGCTAAGCCACAAGGAAATAAGGCAGGTTTAGCAGTGATATCAGTACCAAAAGACAATATAGGAAAGAAAAATTTAGACTCATCTTAGTTATGAACATAAATGCACAAATCATAAATAAAAATTTTAGGAAAATAGTTCTAGCAATGCATAAAGAAAATAATTCTTAACATTCATTGAGTTCTTGGTCTGTGCCCAGTTCAGTTCAGTTCAGTCGCTCAGTCGTGTCCAACTCTGTGACCCCGTGGACTGCAGCTCGCCAGGCCTCCCTGTCCATCACCAACTCCTGGAGTTTACTCAAATTCATGTCCATTGAGTCGGTGATGCCATCCAACCATCTTATCCTCTGTCACCCCTTCTCCTCCTGCCTTCAATCTTTCCCAGCATCAGGGTGTTTCAAATGAGTCAGTTCTTCGCATCAGGTGGCCAAAGAATTGGAGCTTCAGCTTCAGCATCAGTCCCTCCAATGAATATTTAGGACTGATTTCCTTGGGATGAACTGGTCGGATCTCCTTGCAGTCCAAGGGACTCTCAAGAGTCTCCTCCAACACCACAGTTCAAAAGCATCAATTCTTTGGCCCTCAACTTTCTTTATAGTCCAACTCTCACATCCGTACATGACTAATGGAGAAACCATAGCTTTGACAAGACGGACCCTGACAGCAAAGTAATGTCTCTGC